GGGTCTAATGAAATTAATAAATTGCTAAAAATAAATCTAAATTAACATCGTTTTACTTTAACATGTAATACTCAGTCCTAGTTTACTAAAATCCCGAAAATGTATATTCATTAAAAAGAACATACCTAAAAAATAAGACGAAAATGGTATTTTAGCAATTGTTGCATAAATCACAAAACACCGACAAATTAAACATTGCGATTCAGTTCCAAATATACAATTTTAAATAATACTGCGCTCGGTAATCTTCCAAATCGAATCCCGTCCCGCCCTACACTTTGGTTTAAATTTTGTAATTGTTATTGTTTCGTCTTTAGCAGACATTTCTAAAAACATTTTTGACGTTGTTTTGAAATTTGGCGACATAAAATAATGTAATTAATATTTTCTAGAATATGGAAATAATACACTGTGCGGCGAGGGCATCGTTATGAAAAGCTGTTTTTCATGGCAGAAATACAATCGCAGGATTTGCTATTGCCTGCCGAGGGGCGACGGCTACCAGAACAATTTTTTTTGTTTGTTTTATTTTTTGATGTTGGTCGGAAACTGGGCGTGAACACTGTGCTAATTGTTAGTTTTTGAAAAAATTTAAATCTTATTTGTTCATTCGGAATCATATTTGGTATGTACGATAGTTGCCTTACTAAACTATTTATCAAACTGCTAAAAACGAGTCATACTCTTGGAGTGTTCGAACGAGTCATATGGTAATAAGTAGGGCTCAGAATCTCATGCAAATGCATGTTTTTACTAAGCATCTTCAAATGGAAATGGTTAAGTTATCTTTACGAATCATGAAATTTCCTTTAAAATGGTATTCAATCGTTAACTGGTATTTTTTGCATATTTTGCAGTAATGCATGTTCTCAAGTAGCACAAAAGTCAAAAATGCACCAAAATATTTTGTGTATTTTTTGCATCGACGTGATATACATTTTCAATATAAAAAATATGCCATTTCTAAGCGCAGTTTTTGAACAGTTTATTTCGACTCAGTGTAAAGGTTATACCGCTGTTTCGTGTATTATTTACACCTACCGTAATTTTTTTTTACTGATTTTCTGTATATATATTATGCCAGTGGTATACAAGTTTTCTTGTTTCTAGAACATAAAATAAACTCCGTTGGTGTAAAATGCGTACTCATAATTGGCTCAAATCATACA